GTTCAGATTGGATAGCCACAAATGGAGACGGCCAAAATCACTAGACCTTACCCTTCTATTTCAGCACATCACGCTATGAGAATAATTTGTTCCCTATCACTTCCCTGCAGTCATCCAGTCAGAAGGAGCCTGGCAAATGCTGGTGCATGTCAGGCAGATGGATTTCACAGCTGCTTCCAAGGGCATAGAACTAACTCGGGGACAGTAAAATACACACCAATACCAGTGTGAATCCTGGAAGCAACCCAGGAAAGGTGATTTGTCTATACATAGGAATTTAGGGGACTAGCCTACAGAAAGGTGCCTAAAGGTATGAAGCTTTACCCCCAGGAAGCTTGTATGTACTTCCTTCCTTCATGGAGAGCATGCCCACGAGGGACCGCTGCAGCTTGTGTCATCCCTCCTCATCACCTTTGCAACTGGAAGAACCCACCAGAAGGATTTTGCTTATGCAGGTCCCTTTGTCTCAACTGTAAAACGATGTGGTTTCCTGCCCAAAGTCTCCTTCTGGAAAAGAGTTTGTGTTTCTTAACTGAATTGGAAATGCCATCTAGAACCAGACTCTGCTTGCAAGCTGGACTGGGACATAACACAGCTTCTGTATTAATGCCTTCAGGGCTTTAAATGACATTATGTGAAATTGCAGAGAGGTATATTGGTACGATAGTTGTGGATCATCAAACATATTTGATTTTCAGTAGCCCCCTGAGGCGGTAACTGGAGCTTCAGTGTGCGAAACACACAGTCCCATTGCTGCCTGCATGTGGGGAGAGCCCGCAGGAGCTGCCCGCAGGTAGGAAGAGGCAAGAGCAGGTACAGCCACAAGCAGCAACCATCACCATGTGGCTTTATTCCATTGCACAGTTCAAAGGAAAAGAAATTATCAGTAACCCCATAAGCTGGTTTAATTAGTTATGTGAAAACTGATAAAAGCCTATCAGGAGAAAGACAGGAAAGGCAGAGGGCCTGCTGTGGGCACACTGCAGTTAAACCTAGCACATCTTGGGCCAGTATGGCCTCCGGGCACCTGGAGTTGCTGTCTTACCCCAGTCTCTGCCCAGTCAAGAAGGTGTGAGGTGTCCTCAGGCTCTTGGGTGAGTCACTTAACGTGTCCTCGCCCCTGTGGTGTATTCACCATAGCGAACCCAACTGGAGGAGCAAGCGCAGGGTGGTGGTCTCAGAGGCAGTGAACTGATCAAAATTAACCTTGGTGCTGGTGTGGCTGAGTCTAGGCAAATAACTACCAGAGCATAAATTCACCCCCACTGCTTAGCTTCTCTCTTAACTTAAGCCATCCCAAATGAGAGCCCCGTCCCATGGGCTCGGGTAAACACCATCGAGGTTAGGGATGGAGCTCCAGGTTCAGACTGGACACAACCTCATATGGACACAACCTCAGCTCTGATTGTGTTTAGGTTTCCATCTCAGTGAGTATAACCCATAACCAGATAGCAAAGCAGAATGCAGTAAGCAAGCAAGCGTGTGCAGAGTCTTTCCCAAGGAGCAACTCTCTGCCAAAGTAAATTACCATCAGTTGTCATTTAAATGAGAATCAGCTTCACTGATTACTTTTTGCATACTTCCTCAGAATAAAGCCAGATGTTCCTCAGCCCGTGTTATAAACCTGCAATTCACATTTAAAGGCAGGCAGAAAAATTCTCACAAGAAAAGGGATATTGAGTCTTGTTAGTGAATTGGTTTGTCTAAAAAAATATATCTGCTAATGGTGATGGTAGTACATTTCTGAATCAGAAAACATTTCCCAAGCCATTAGACGCAGCAATATGTAAATCACTGTTGCAGTGACACTAATATTACCCCGGTATGCGTCAAGCTTTTGTCGTTGCTTTTAAAAAGTTAGAATAATTTCTCCTCAAGAAAATTGCTCTGAATCACTGCTGAGGTTTGAGTGAGTGTTTTAATAGAATGATTTTCTGGGTTTAATTATTTTCATTTTACTTGCTTACTACCTTTACATTTCTTGTCATGGCGTGTTTTCAGTCTGCAGCCAGGAATCCAGCTTACAGTGATATATTACACTTTAGAAGGAAGCAAGTCACTCTAAGTCATCTGAGAAATTCTTTTGGTTATCCAGTCCGTTTGAAACTGTCAGGACATCTCCTTTTCCTCTCAGCTTATAAGACGTGAAACATTATCATCCCCGCCTATATATGTGTTGCTTCCTGCATAAGGAATATTTATAGCATTTCTGACCTTTGAATGAACTTTTACAAATCAATAACAGCAAAGTGGAAGAAAGATCAGCAGCAGTTTTCCTCTTCTCTGAGTGTAGCCAGACAGGGTAGACTTGGAATGTCTAAAATGCGTGAGGAACTATATAATATATTTATGCAGTATTTTTGCAGGAAATGTGCAGATTTCTTCAGCGTTATCATGTAGCTCCTACCTGAAGGATATATTGGCCAGGGCCAATGGTATTATTAATGGAATTTTTAAGTTGTTGCGTATCAACTTTTACATGGCAGAACTACTACCAGAGGCCTTGAGAGCCAGTGCTGACAACTACTTTTCTTGACTATATTTTGCCACAGGGAAAGTGTAAGTGGATTAGAAACCATTCTTGTTAATGATTTACTGCAGCTGAAACACCATTAATTTCCACTTCAGATGGCAGAAATAAAATTGACAGAATCGCCCCTAGATGTGTGAGCACAAGCAGCCATATGGGATGGTTCAAGGCAAGGTTTGCCAGTTCAGAATCATTATCCTTATGACCCTACAACTGAAATATTATAAAGGATCTTTCCTGATTCCTCAGATTTCCAAAGCTCCTTCCGAAATCAATGTGTTCCCATAATGAATTTGACATCTCAGTGCTGTTTGCTGCCTCCAAATACGGAGGAAGAAAACGGACTTCAACATTTCCCTTCATTTCACTGCATAAAAGTGAAGTTCCTAACTTAAGTTCTTTCCTTCTTGAGAGGCAGCACCTCTTGCACTCTCTTTTGCCTACGGAGAGATCCTGGCCAACTAGTTCAGATGACAACTGTAAATTAGAAGCCTAAATTCCGGATGCACTGAGTTAAGTGAGATGAATCCTATTATTAAGGGTGACAGTAATAGATTTCACATAGTGAGAGATCTTCTACCTTGTAATTAGAGTGAATTTTTTCAGAACTGCCCCTCTTGCCTTTCCACAGAGGTAGCAAAGCAGGGTCTTGCTCTTTGCTGGAGTCTTCTAGTTCTGCTGTAAAACATAGGGCTTCTCTTTGCAAACACACTGTTGTTACTCGGAAAATCACTCTCATAATAACTCCATTTTTCTCCAGTATTTTCCTTATTGACTGATTGGAGAGACAGTGATAGCTATACAAACCTGCACAAATATAAAGAACCTTTAGATAGCATCTCAAAAGAGTTGTTTTCATAAGTTTCTTTTTCTGTGTCCATGTGGTCTGAAGATTGTGTCTACTTGTTCAGCCAGCATTATAAATATGTCTAAAAATACAGGGAAAATAAAACAAATTTGCTGAAGTTTGACAACTTCTGTTTGATCAAGTATTGTTTGGTTAAAAGTATTTCAAAAGTCAGGAAATTAAGATCTTTTTGTGGATGCTATCATACTTATTATTGTTAGGTTTCTGAAGAAGAACAAAGGAAAAGACTTTTCCACACAAGTTCAACAATTGTTAGTGTCAACTTTTAATTTCCTTGTTTTTTCCTAGTTTATAAACAACCTTAATATAGAATTGTTTTGCCTGAGAATAAATGATGTGTTTATTCAAATTCTTAGTTTTGGAATATTAAAGAATTAGTTACTGCCACTCTCCACATACCTATTTCCCTCTTTTTGCTTCTTTTTTTTTCTTTCAAGGACCGATATACTGTGTGCCATGTGCATCTTCATTCATCTTAAATGTAAAGCTTGTTATTTCACTGTTCTCCAGAATTTGCATTCCAGCTTTCAGCAATATCTAACCAAATGAAGTTTGTTCTCTCTTAGTCTTCTTCCTAACACATTTTAAATACTCTGAAAAATTCTATAAAGCAGCAGAAAAGCTGAAGTCCTGATGTTATGCATAAATCAGATCAAAGTACTGTATTGGCTTCTGTCCCTTCTGTCTCTAGCATAAAAAATAATGCATTTTGATTGAGACAGAATAACAAAATCACCCTTTTGTTTAACCACCTCAGTAGACAGAAGACATTAATATTAATGTTTCTGATGAAATTCTGGTTTAACGGTTCAGTAAGGCTAGTGTTTTGGCTCCTGCAAGAAGCTAGAAGGAGTTCATCTGGCAATAGCACATGGATTTGAATGGGCAATAAGGTTACATGGACAGCAGATCCAGCCGCTTTGGGACCAGCTCAAAACTAAGCTGATGGCAGAGCTGGGTGATGACTGTGGTGTTTCAGCTTCTCCTGATTTAACCGGTTCACTGACAGCTGTCAGTGTGGATATAGGCCACATATGGATTCCACCACCAGCAGCAATATTGTCTGCTCATCGTTTCTGCAAAACTTGATGATAACTGGAACTGCTCATTGTTTGTGCTGATCTAAGGCAGGCAGATGTCCATAAGGGCTGCCTCAGTCTGGTTTGTGGTGTTTATGTCAGTTTTTAAAAGCAGTAGATAATTTGTGTTTGAGGAAAGGTACATGTTGTCTCTTACAGTCTGACTTAACCTATGGTTTTGCCTTGGATCTGTCGCAGCTCCTCCATCAGTCTGGTCTGTGTGGTTTCCTGCCTTCACTGCCACAGTGTTTGGGAGGCAAAATCTATGACTTTGATTCCTCAGCCCTTGCAGACAAGGCTCAGCTGCTTCTTTTCTCAAAAACGTCTGCCCACCCCCAGATATCAAACACCTTGACTGAACCCATAGTCAGTACCAGGATTTGGGCCAGAAACTGAAGCTGATTTAATGTCAAAATAGAACAGGATCTCCAAGCTGTGCACAGGCAGCTTCTCCCAGGTCTCCCAAGTGTGGCAGCATGGGCTGTTCTCCCTAACAATGGGTGATTTTGCTTGGTGATTTCAGAGAATGATGAGGAGCAGGAGGCTCTGCTATCACTAGACAAGCCCGGCTGGTATTCCCAAGGTAATGCTATCCAGCTTTATGAACTGCTGAAGAAGATGACTGGCAAGTTGGATCCCAAGGTATGTTACAAGTGAGAGAAAATCTATTTAAAAATATCCTTTTTCAGTCCAAAATTCACCAGACAAGCTTTCATTAAAGTTACAGAAGTGATTGGTCACGAATTTTTGTTCTGGATACAGTTGCTATTGTCTTACAGACTGCAGTCCAGAACTGGAAGTAGCATATTAGTCTTCTTCTCAGTAGAATATGTAAATTTTCTAGGTATTTTATTCTGTGTGCATGGTCATGCATTTCAGCAGCTCTAGGGGCAATCAGAGTGTAATCAGCAAATAAAGAATCTCTCTGATGAAACTAAGAAAGAAGTAGATTAAAATCTGGTATCAGTGAAAACTAGGATCATATTATTTTAATTACAGATCTGGATGAGTGAAAATGCCATTGAAGATGGTGGGACCACATTTTCCCTAGTGGGTAAACTACTCCCTGGGCAGAGTTCTGTGTCACCAAGAGATGCTCCATGTTCTCCCTTCTTTCCAAAGTTGTCCAAAATTCATTCCCACTGTAAAGTGTATTTTCTTGGTGGCATCCTGGGGTGCAGTAGAAGGGGTGTGGCTAGTAGGTTGAGAGAGGTTCTCCTCCCCTTCCACTCTGCCCTGGTGGGACCACGTCTGGAATATGTTGTCCGATTCTGGGGCCCTCAGTTCAAGAAGGACAGGAAACTGCTTGAGAGAGTCCAGCGCAGAGCCACAAAGATGATGGAGTGGAACATCTCCCTTATGAGGAAAGGCTGAAGGAGCTGGGTCTCTTTACCTTGGAGGAGGCTGAGGGGTGACCTCATAAATGTTTATAAATATGTAAAATGTGAATGTCAGGAGGATGGAGCCAGGCTCTTCTCAGTGATGTCCCATGATAGGACAAGGGGCAACAGGTGCAAGCTGGAGCGTAGGAGGTTCCACGTAAACGTAAGGAAAAACTTTTTCCCTGTGAGGGTGACAGAGCGCTGGCACAGGCTGCCCAGGGAGGTTGTGGAGTCTCCTTCTCTGGAGACATTCAAAACCCTCCTAGACATGTTCCTTTGTGACCTACTGTAGGTGATCCTGCTCTGGCAGGGGGGCTGGACTAGATGATCTTTTGAGGTCCCTTCCAACTCCTGACATTCTGTGATTCCTGGCAGTCTATTTCTCTCAGCCAAAAATCTCAGTGGTGTCCCCTGTACCAGTCCCAGCTGGGCATTGAAGTTCAATGCCCCTGGCAGGTGAGGGTGAGGAGGATGTGTAGAGCCACCGTTTTCCTTATGGAGCTGTTTGAAGATAAAACCCCGAACTGTGACATTAATAAGATCTGAGTGTGTTGTGACCAACTGTAAACACAGAGGAATTTTTATTAGGTTGTTTTAAAGCTCTTTTTCTCTCTGTGAAATACAGCTTGATTGTGTATTCCTCATATACAATGAACTTCTAATTTGCTGCTTCCCTTGTAGGTTGTTTATTTTGGTGACAGCATGCACTCAGATATTTTCCCAGCTCATCACTATAGCAACTGGGAAACTGTCTTCATCTTAGAGGAGCTTCTAGAGGACAAAGTTACGCTGCCTGTGGAGACAGAATTTGAGCCCTTGGAGAAGAAAGGAAAATATGAGGTAAGGGTTCCTTGCAGATACTTCCTGGAACAGAATAAAGTAAGTTAGAAAAAAGCCTCCTGCCACCTGCACCAAGAATGAGCCTGCTTATCTCACCAGACTGCTGGCAACATCAGCATCCCTTGCAGATGTGTCCTCCTGGATTCACCAAGAGGGTGCCATCCTGTCCCAGCTCAGTCTTGCATGGGTGACACAGAGCCTGTACCCTGGGCTAAATCATGGATCTCAGAAAAACAGCTGCATGCCCTTTCCCTTAAAAAATCGCAGTTTTCTCCCTCTCAGTAACAAGAACCTGCCCACTGTCCTATGTAAGGAGAAATTTCATGGCCACTTACCACAAGTCCAGCACCTGTAAACAGCCAATGGTAAACAGGGAGGAATTTTTCTTAAAATGTTTTAAAGTTCTATTTCTCTGTGAAATACAGTTTACTTGTCCTTTCCGTGTATGCAAAAAACTTTTAATTTGCCACTTCCTTAGTAGTTTGTTTATTTTGGTGACAGCTGCACTCAGATAAGAGGGACTGTTTCGAAATCTGGTCCAATGCAGACTACTGATAGTTACTTCAGATAAATAATGTATTTGTCAAGTTGATCATAGCTGGGAAGAAGGGCCTTAGCACTACAGTCGTGCTTTAGTTCTCCCACAGAAAGTGGAAGGTTACTATGGTTTATCCTTCTCTCCATTGCTGAAGAACAAAGTAGATGGAGAACGGCTCTCTGATGGCTGACATGGCAGTGTTGTACCTCCAGTGTGTCCTGTGTAGGAACTGCAATGCAGCTTCACTTTCTGTTTGGAGTGTTTCTTCTTTTCTTATGTTCCTAAATTATTATTTTCTTCTAGTTTCAGAGAGAGATATATATGCTTTGCTTTGAAAATCACTTGACTTTTTTAAAAAAAATACTCTTTGTGATTAAGAAGTTAACTTACCAATAGGGAGATTTTTGTCAGGTGCTTTTATACTAGAGATGTTTTTAATCTGACTGAGAAGTGGTTTAAAAGCCCCTCTTTTTTAATGGAAAAATGAATACCTTAAATGGGACTAAAACAATATAGAAGTGGCATCTATTTCTCTACTTATTTTAAGAGATGTATCTAATATCTTCTACTAACCTGATTTCTAAATTAAGGTCAGACAAGAACATTTCAGTCACTGAAATAAAGAAATGTAATCAGTAATGTTTAGGCTTTTCCCTAGGCTGTATAAAAAAACAATTAACAAAAAAATAAACAAGCTCAAGTCTCCTATTAAAATAATCCCTGTGTTTCTCAGTAGGAAAGGGAGGTGAAAAAAGAAGTGAGTAGTAGTGCTACATAAATTAATGTAATTTGATTTAATCAATGCTATAAGAACAACTCATCCTCCGTGAATTTGTTCATTCTCTGACTGGAGGCTCTGCTGCATTGCTGCGTGGAACTTGCAGCTCTCTAAGATTTGTTGTGTTTTCCTTTTTTTCATTCAGCCATGTTCTCTTAAGCATGTTCAATGTATGCCTTTGAAGCACACATATTTAAACAGCCAGCCAGACCACATTTCTTTTCGTGGTAATACAAAAAAAAAAGTTAGCAAATGATGTCTTTCTAAGCCCTTGGTGATGATTTGGTTTTCTCTTGTTGCAATACCTCTGCTCGACTGCTCACGAGATCCATCTTCTCTATTGCCACAGTTATCAAGCAGGAAACTGAGACTTTTAGACAGATGTTAAACATTTCGGTAGTGCTGTAGTATTCTTGATAAGAGATTCAGTATCTCGGAAGGACACCACCGCTGCCACACACAACCCCTGTTCAGTTTACATCCGCTACCAGTGACAGCAAGTAAGCAAGGGAGAAATGAATTGCGTTGATTAAAGGAACCTGAACCAAGGGGGCCGTGGCAGGTCAGTGGTGTTACTTCATTACCACACTGCTCACTGGAGTCTGAACAACAGGTCACATCCATATCTCTGCAGTTGACTGGACACCGCTAACTTAACAGGACTAGTTCAAAGAGACTCCCTTTACAAGCCTATGGAAGTTTTATTTTCATTCCCCTAATCAACTTCTCCCATTAACCCTTTGTTTAAGAGGGAGGAAAAGCCAACTCAAAGGATTATGCAAAGTCAGGTGGTTTCAGAAAATTAGGCACTTGCAAATTAGATTTAGTCTTATTTTTTAGCCTTCTCATTCGTTGTTAATAAAAACAATACTCTAGTATCGCAGATTTTCCATGCCATGGTGTGTGTGCAGAGGAGGACTGATGCAATCCTCCCTTCTATCAATCTTACTTTATTTCTCTAATAATATATTGTATTTTTTCTAATTTGCAATTGCATCTTTCAGAAAGAAATTACAAAACACTGTTTTCAGTTGTTTGGTATTTCATCACTAACATGGAGAGAGGAAGAAAACAACCTCCTCTCACACAAACTGGGAGGCTAGTAATTTCCATTTTCCTTAGCAGTTTTTGTGTTTTCCCTTCAATTAAATATGTGATATAAGCCAGATACGCATAACTGTGAAATTATGGTAACATCTGCCGTTCTTTCAAGTACATGAGTCATAACCAAATGAGCAAGAGAATAGCAAAGGGAAAACTATTCATGCAATTACTCGGCTCCTAAGTGAATTTCAGCATGCAGCGGGAAAAAAAAGAATACCAAGCCTTGTGTCGAAACAAGATTCCCCCCAGATCTGGGGGTTTGTTTGTTTGGCTGGAGGCTTTGTTTCTGCCTTCTGTTCTTTAAATGTGTGATCAATTCCATCAGTGAAAACTCGAAGAAAAGCTGGACTTTGTCCCAGGATTTCGAGGCAAGCATTTACAGAGAAGCTAGTCAGCTTATAAAAACTTTGGCCTATAGGAAGGAGTGGAGCAGAAATCAAAGAAGTTATTGGCAGGTGTAGTTTATATTTTTGCAGTTAGAGGAAAAAACTAATTTTTACAGTATTGCCAGTGGCTGGTCTGATTCCCTCTGCATGACCTTAGACTAGGGCTAATTACTCTGTGCCTTTTGGCTCTGCTTGTCTCTTTTTTTTCCTGTTTAACACAAATCTAACAATATTTTCAGGAACAACCTGATGGGCTGTTATGAAGCCTGGTGAATTAAAGCCATATTGTTGTAGCAATATCCTGAAGTTAAGTGCATTTTATTTTAAAGGAAGTCTGCTTATAGTGATCCATGATGAAATGTAGCTATAATGATCACAGATCAAATGTTTTATATTTGCACATGACTTGTGGGGGGAAGGTTCTGTGCAAAAGTTAGACCAGTGGTAGGTTTGCACCCAGCATGGCTGTTATTCAGGGACATCTGGTTGTTGTGACCAGAACACTGTGCTGGTAGAAACACCTTTAAAAAATTGCCATTACACTGGCAAAACTGTATTTTGAGTATTGCTTTTTCTGGCACTAAGAGGCAGGGGAGGTGTTACTACCTTGACACAAAGCATACAGCCATCAGTACCATCCATTATATTGGATGTGAGATTCAATGTGTAAAAAAATAATTCTAGTGTCCCACACTTGGTATAAAGATGATGACACAGATGGCAAATCCTCATCTAAAAATACTAACTTACTGCATGTACAATGTTTTTCAGCTTGATTTTTCACTCCTGTCTCCGTTACATCCATCTGTCTTTCATCACTTTACCAAACATTGGAAAACTTCAGGGCTCAGCAACTTGCTTGTTTCAGTTTTAAACAGGTCATTTACAAGCTGAAAAATCAGTGTCACCCAAGAGTCCTATTAACTGACTCTGTCTGCTCTGTTAACAGGCCCCGTGTGTTTGCAGTTAATAGAGCAAAGGTGAGAGTAAGTATTCGAGGTGGATTAACTTAGTGGAAAGCCTTGGGAACTGAAGTCTAGACGTCCTCTTTGAGGCTTTGTTCCTTCAACTGAAACAATCAACGTCTGACCTGCTACTGTCTGACCAATATGCTTGAGAGCAAAACTACACACTTGGGGGGTTTGCACACAAAAGGGAGATTTGCTCAGCACTTCCTAGGACCTACTGTCCTGCTGCGAGAGCAAAACCCATGTACGGGGGTACGACAAGAGTGGCTGTCGCGCCTTCCAGAGCTCCCCATCCCGGCTGCTGAACACATATCTAGGCATGTGAGGAGCAGCAATGTTACCAAGGGACTTTTGCCTCATTTCATAGGTGTATAGACTTCATGGTATGTGATATCTCCTTTATTGCAGGCTACATCTGCTGAGTTAAAGATATCTTGTAGGCAACGGTTAGAGATGCCAGGGGGAGTGATGTCAGATGCATCCAAATGATGTGGGCAAAGTTTTGCCATCTCTTTTCAGATTTGAGCTTGGAATTTAGCATCACTACCAAAGATAAGCCAGTAGCAACATGATGGGAGGTGTCTGCCAGGTGACTTGAAGACAAATGTCATATCTAACCAGGTTGGGCTGTAAATCCAAAACGTAACTCCCTTCTCCTTAGCAAGAAAGAAACTCCCACTCTAAGAGGCAGAATTCACAAAAATATCAGTTCATTTCCTCAGATTGCAATTTTAATTGCCTGTTGGGCCAATCATACATTTCAAAAAGCAGAAGCTTTAGGTTTGTTTTTTTTCTCTCATCCATAAACAAGACCCTGTCTTTTGTGCAAATACTTGTGTGGGCCAGTAGCGGGGTGGTTATTTTCATTAATCACCTGGACAGCTGGAACAGCCTTAAGAGTTTTCTGCATGTGTCATCCAGCTGGTAAACAGATTTTAATACAGCATAGCTTTTACATTTAGTTATAACCAAAGTAAAGTCCTGAGACGTGCATGGAAAGATAAGACTTGGCCAAAAAAATAATGTAAGATGCTATCCCTGTGTGAAAGCCAAAAAAAACCACAAAAACACAGAAGAACCCAGCTCTTAAGTTAACTGCAGGTTTTGAAACAAAGATACGGGGATTTTTTTCAGCATATTTAAATCAGAAGACAGAAACTAATATCTGTATTTGTCCAGATCAGTACTTCCTTCCCACCCCCAGCTATGCTTAGAGAAAAAACTGTTGCACAGAATCACAGAAAGAATGGCTCTGTGTTTACTAACATGGTCCCTTTGGCTGGATCAACAGCTTTCTTGCGATCAAAAGCCACAGACCTCTGTCACAAATTATTCCAGCAGATTCTCAAAACCCTTAAGAAAGGGGTTAAATGCAAAACAAATTACGAAAGTTCACACATCTGGAGGGGCCGCTAGGATTTCTGTTCTTCTATACCTTGCTAGTCTGAAAAGTTACTTTGCATACAAATGACTTCAGCAGATTTTCTATGGTGTAGTTCACAGTTTTGTTTTACATTTTTTCTTCTTTCTGTAGAGGCCTCCTGGAGGTTTTTCTGGCTGCTTATGGCAATATATAAGAGGTTTCAAGATGAACTGCTAAAAAAACCTCGGTTTTCCCAATGCTGCTTTAATGCTTTCTTTAAATAATGAGTCTACATGTTGCTGTCTGAAAATATACATGAAAAAAAAATTTTCAGAATTCACTAGGCAACTGAATGGCTCTCCATGGATCCTGCATCTCTCTTCTCACTCATTTCTCAGCTCAGAAACAGATAGCATGACATAGGTGGCACAATACATTCTTCGCAGTTACTCCATCCAGCACCAGGAGGTTTTTCCTTTCTCCCAGGAGGAGGTCCAGACTGAGTTGCAGTCCGTGCCACAGCCACCCAGCTTTTCCAGCAGAGAAAGGTAGCACGTTATTCATGCTATCAAAAAGAGAAAAATGGGGAAAAGATTTAAAGGCAACTTTTTGTGTCCTAGGGCATCCACAAATTGCTTAAACAGCAGCTTAGGGACTTACAAGAAGAAGGTTGTTACTATTTTTTTTATAATATTTTAAAGTCACATTGCCTCTGAGATAAAATACAGTTTTCCCAGAAAAACAGAGAAACACTAGAGTTCCTTGAACTAACGTTTGTGGTTGGATAGAGAAAGAAGATTTCTTTTTAAAGATTACATATTTATTTATTTTTCTTCCAGGGAGATCAGCTCACAGCTCCTTATTTTGTATCTAAACAATGGGGCTCTTTCTTCATGGACAGATTGCCAGGCCTGGAAAATGCAGAAGAGACCTTAGTTCGCACGTGGTCCTGTAGATGTATTAGCACTTACAGCACTATTGCAATTCCTAGTCTTGAAGCTATAGCAGGTAAGGAAAATAGCTTTTTTGGTTTTTTACCTAAGGAACATGTAGTATTCATAGTGACTTTGTCATACTGTATATCTGATTTGGAGATTACATGTGTCTGAAATACATTGAAAAATATTCTGTTCATATCATGCAGCAGTTAATGTTAGTCACCATTAATTACTTTGACATTTATACTTCTAAGAGTTGTCTGGTACACCAGTTCAGTTTTTTGTTTGTGCCTGCAAGTATTAGATGCTTAGTTTATCTTATGTGAGAAATAGAATGCAGCGTTTCACAGATTGTAGATTAGTTCCTGAATTTTGATTCAGGACTTCCCCACTGAATTTTGCTGTGTCTACTTTCGCTGGTAAGTTGCCTTAGGAAACAAATGTATGCCAAGTTTTTTGGGTTTTTTTTTGATTTCCAGATTTCTTTGTCTCTGATCTGGCTTGTTAACCTTCCTCAATCAGTTCACTTAGCTCTTTACAGTTGAAATGGAGATGAATGAATGCAGGAGTGTAATGAAGCCAAGAATGCCTAGGACTGTGCTTCTTTCTCTCATGTTTTTCTTTTTTTTTTTTTCCTGTGTATTGCTTTTGAAACTGACACATTATGGACAGAGCTGAAACCTAAAATATTCTCCTTATGTGGAAAACAAGGGAATTGCAAGCAATGTCTTGTTCTCCAGAAATTTGACCTAATTGAGAAATCAGCTCAGGCTTTCTATGTTCTTATACCAAGGCTGTGTCAAAGGTATAATTATGGCTGATCTTCTGATTTTCTAATGCTTCTAATGCTTTCTAATGCTTCTAATGCTTATGCCTGGAGGAACGATACATAATTTTGCATGATTTGTAGCAATAGTTCTGTAGTAGTAATAGTGCGGTAACTTACAACTGCAGTACTTTGTCAATACATCATATCTAAAGGAATAAACAAATTACTAAATTAATGAGATGCTCAAGTCTATGAAGAATATAACAAGTATTTCATTTACTAGCCCCTCTGTTCAGCATCTGTTGCCTACTTCATGCATAAGACCAAGGAATAAAAAGTTGTCCCGAGAGAGCATTTCAGAGTTGCCTAGCAGTTATTTCTGCATCAGAACACATGACAGGCCTGTTCTTTGCAACTATATTCTGCACTTATATATACATTATAAGGATATCTCAAAATAGAAAACTCATATGGTGCCACAGTTTATTTATGGTTCTGGTATGTTGCAGTCTGTATTTCAGCCTAAAGGTACAAAGCCCAAATATACCAAGGGAAATTGCCAAAAGAGGGGTAACTTGTGTAAAACTTCCTTTTAATACCTTCCCTGGAGACATTCCTTGTCTTGCTTTGGAGGCGCTGACCATGGGGGAATGCGTCCATCAGCCACGCGCTGTGAAACGTTGCCTATCACCGCCTGCTCCCAAACACAGCTCCGCTTGCAGGGCTAGCAAAGGCTTTAGACCACAAACCTACCACCAAGTTTCCAGCTACAGGAGAAGGTGTGAGAACCAGAAAGGCCTATCTGTGGCCATTAGTGAGCGGCACAGCTTCCTGGCAGCAGTGGTGGAGCCCTGCAAAGTCTGCTCCTGCATAAGGAGGGACACCATGTGCCATCCCTCGCTGCACCAGACCGGTGCTGGGACAGGGGCTGATGCCTGTGAAACTTCTACCCCAGAGCTAAAGGACAGGGGAGGGATAACATTTTTAACTGGCAGCTCTGCACCTGAAAGCAGACTCTTAAGCTGAAGGTACAAGAACATCTCTGGTTTCTTGCCAAGATAGGTATTTCTTGTTTGTTTGTGCGGAAGAGCAGATGTTCATTATTATGGATGTTGAGGAATTCCTGACTTCTCTCAGAAACCTTGTCTGACTCCTGTCACAGCAAGCTGTGAGAGCCCCTGCTCTGCCAAGCCCTGAAGTTTTTGGCTACAGTTGTAAGTCAAAGCTTAGCTGCAGCTATTTGGGAATAACTAGCTAGAAGAGATTCGAACGGGTTCTGCGAGTTTGATGCGCTCTAGCTTTTCCTTTTCTATTCATCTATTTTAATTACCAGCAGAGATCTTCCATTGCCAAACTGCAAACACACAGGCCTTTCCTTCAGATCCCCTGAGCCCAAAGGTGCAACCAGGCTACCAGCATGCTGACCGTGAGAGCCCAGCTCCCGACCACCGGCTGGCACAGCCCTGGCAGTACCCGGGCAACAAGCCACCATCTCCCCAGAGGTTTGCTGCAGCCTCATGTTGAGCCGTGGACTCACCAGAGCTTCTCCATCAGCAGTGTCTCAACTGCCTTTTGTATGTCTGCATCAGCAATAGTGTCACATGCAAGCAAATATCCCAACAGCTTGCACTCTCCAATGCTTCTACATTTAGTTACAACAATTGCTGCTATGCTAACTTTAAAATTGATGCTTGTTGCCTGGATCGTAGAATCATATAATGGGTTGGAATCATAGAATGGGTTGGAAGGAACCATTAAAGGTCCAACCCCCCTGCAGCAGTAAGCAGGGACATCTTTAACCAGATCAGGTTGCTCAAAGCCCCATCCAATCTGACCTTGAATGTTTCCAGGGATGGGGCTTCTACCACCTCTCTGGGCAACCTGTTCCAGTGTTTCACTACTCTCATTGTAGAAGATTTCTTCCTTATAGCTAGTCTAAAGATAGATAGACAGGCATACACACACCATGGGAATGTTGCATTTGAGCTCACATATGGAAATTAAAAGGTGTAAGGGTCTGTCTGAAAAATGGTATTTTGCATAAAGTTTCTAATGCATCCTCCTCCAGAAAGCTTAGTATGAGCCAAGTAAAGGTGGGTACTGTTACCTGTCATACCTGTTTGTCATCTAAAGGCCCCTGACAGTGCCTTAAGAGAAATTGATATCTTCCTTGTGCATGAAAAAGGACATTTTGGTTATTGTTAAAATTGCCCAAAGGACAGAAAGGATCTATAATACCTTCTGTGTACTTTCCTCAATCTGGAGTGGAAATCAGATAGAAGTCAAATGTCTTCACTTAAGACATGATCACCCTGACATTAAGATTACATTAAAAATAATTAACAGAAGAGCAGCATTATGCTTACATCTTTGTAATATTAAGAGAAGATGAGTTAAGTGGAAAGTTTGCTAAATATATTGTAGGGTTTTTATGACCTAATTCTCCTTACCCACTTTCTGTAAGCAGGGATTTTTTTTTCTCAGTTATTGAAAAGCTGATGAGCTCATGATTATACTGACAAAGAAGAGTTAATAAAATAGTAGAAGCCAATGCCCCTACTCCTGTTCTACATGCCTTATTCACAAATCCATCTGTTTCTTCACTTTTCTGCTATTGAATCTCTCCTCATTTACAGCTCCCTTACAGATTTTGACCATTTTCAAGTACAATGATACTGTAAGCCAAATTTTCCAAAACAGGATCCATTACCGTGGGAACGTTACATTTGAGCTCACACATGGAAATTAAAAAATGTAGGGGTCTGGTGTTTTGCATAAACCACAGTTCGTAATACATTCTCCTCCACTTCAGAAAGCTTGGTATGAGGCAAGTAAAAGAGGGTACTCTTATCTATCATCATACCTTTAGAATCTGAACTTCACCTTCGAGGAGCTAGTGACCACTACTCTGTGGCCATTTGATCAAACTTCCAGAAACCCATGTCAATAATTATCTGTCCTTCATCACATTGGTATTTCAACAATAATTACAGGTCTGTCTGATTTAGAATGAAGATCAAATACAAATAATGCCTTATTTACTAAGCAAGTTTTTGTAGGAAAAAGTCACTGAAATAACTAGCCAGTGCTACAGTTTCAGATGGTATTTGATTAACAGTTCCTTGATCCCCCCAAAAAAATATGCATTTTTCAAGCTAATGCTTTTCCCTTGAATCTCATTATGATTGGTATTTTTATAAAAGTCCCACTTCAGAAAATTCCATGATGCATAACTGTGGAGTTTTAGAGCTTAGGGGGAATTTTGGTAAGTTTATTTTGTTCTTCATTGCAAAGGAAACTTTAAGAAAGTGGGCTCTAAATCCTAAAAAGGAGAACCCAGAAAAACGTTTTTTAAAATTTCGGGATTGTTAATCTGATCTCCTGAACTTGTGCCATAACCACTGAATGGCGAGGTTTATCATAGAATGAAAAATTACTGCAAGAACAGGGGACCAAGCGATGTTGCAGCTCAAGAAAGTTGCATTTCAGAGAAGAATTAGTGCAAATGTGAACGTTTTACAGAGACAGAGTTCATTTCACGCATTGGAGATTTGATAACCAAGCCTGTGTCATGCGTGAGGATAATGCATTTTTTTAAATCTTGTGTGCTATGTGAAATCTTATTATGATTTGCCCATATGGGTGCTTAAGTTTTCATGCCTTATTGTTATTTCGGTTAGCTCGTACAAGTGAATAATCTCCATTATAATTTACCAAAGCTGTCTCTTTAAAGATGCCTACATATCTGTACCCTGCCACTTTCTATGGGAGTTTGAGTCGTCAGCCTGTTTGCTGTATAAATATAATGAAAACATTGCCAGTGAACCATGGCAAAGAAGTTCGTGTTTCTGCTTAGAGTTGCAAATTATCTGTACAATGGAAAACCCAAGGCAGCTGTGACAGGGGCACCAGAACTGGAAGTGCGTGGGTTGCACATACACAGGTCTGCCCGTCACAGATCAGCTGCAGATTGCAAAACTCAAACTTACTACACTTATTTTAAAGGTGAATACCCTTGAACAATCAGCTGTTGCCATGGAAATCATGAATTTCACTAAGCATGCACTCCCTTCTATCTCCTGAACAGTATCTTTCATAATTATTGCTGAAGTGAAACAAAAAGTCCTCCGTATTTTAACACATTAGATCTACGCTTTTTCACTGACATCACATCATTCAAAGTCAAATCCAACTCCTATTAAAATTAAATTAGTCTTTCCTGTAACTAGAGTGATAATTATGCTCTCTTACTTATTCAAATAATGCAAAAATAGCATGTAATTTCCCTAAACATGTAGAAG